GAAACGTCTACATAAGAACATATGAGCGACCGCTTTTATTATCGTGTAGGAGCCAAGCGCAGGCAGAGATAAAATTCAGGGACATGAGCAAAGCCCCAGTAAAGCGATAGGGCCCCCCCCAACAGCGACACCCCCGAAATGGATGACAGCAGTGTGCAAAAACCATGTAAAGCGATAGGCCTCCCCAAAGCAATTTTTACTTAGCTGTTTACTAATAATTTAGGTAGCTGCTCACATGTGTTCTGCTTTCCCAAAATGTAAGTCTTGGCTATAGGGGCCTCCAAAATAGTTGTTAATTTGGGTTACTATAATCCTAGTAACAACTCAAAATGATTCTCTCTATTGGGGTTCTGAGGCCGGCTTAGTGGACAGAAATCTTAGACTACCAGCTTTCCTAGAAGCAGTTCACACACTGCAGGAGCATCTGGAGACAATGCAGCTCCGGTCAGCTGGCGAGCGCAGCACAGGATCCTGGCGCCCTAAATTAAATTCGAAAATAGGGGCCTAAGTGGTTGTTTTCCAAAACTAGGGGTAGCCTTTTAGGGGTCCCTATAATAAGAGTGGTAGCATTTTGGGGTCTATATTGGGGTCCTCGAATTTAAGGAAACTACCAAGTAATTACCAATGTCCTTTCGAGGTCTATTTGAAGCATCGTATACCATAGTCATACAAGGAACCTAGAAACGCATTCCTTGGTATTTTCAGGCTTCTGCATTACTGAATTGTCGCGATGTAGTATTGAGGGTTCTATGCCCCAAAGACGTGCAAGATTCATCTTGTAGACCCATGTCTGCAACAGGAGCATGCCTGTATGCAGGCTTCAAGACAAATACATCATTACCCAAGTGCTCTGTATCGGGATGAAGGCCCTGAAAGGTGTGGCCATACCCCTGAATCATCTATCTGAGCTATATAGTCTAGACTGCCTGAAGGGGGCTTTATAGGGGGCTGTATAGGGGAGTATTCAAGGGGTTATTGAGAGGGATACTAGGGGTTTAAGATCCTAAACCCTAAATCCTATATTATATAGAGGGTATTCAGGGGGATGGTAGGAGTGTAGACTATGGCTCATCTTACAGTTGATCCTGCCGTCCTGGCTTCAAATGTTTTGTGATAAGGACTGAGGGTTGTCTACAAGACTGTTTGGAATACAAACGAGGCCATAAATAATGGTACTAAAAAACAACAACACAAGTAGCAATATTCGTAGCAGTAATAAGAACAAAGAAGTGATCGTTAATAAGATTTAGTCCTTAATAATGGTCATAATAGCTTTGACCACATGTTTGACTTTTCAACGCTCTTCCTTGTCCACCCCGAACCGCAAGCCCTTCAAAGCACCTTCTGAACAGCAACCCGCAGATGCTGGGGTCGTAACAGGCCGCAAAACTGATGGTCCTGCCACGCAGGGCCCTCAGGGGTGATCCTAGCAGGCGGGGCCAAAGATTAGATTCGAGGGCCTGGGATTTGACTTCAGGATTTGGTATCTTTGCAGAGGAACTGGTCCCCATTACAGGCCAGGCACAGTGGTGGCTGTTGATCATGGTGGTGTTGCTGCTTGCAGTGGAGGTGGCGTGGGTTTTGGTGTCACACTGTCGCACAATCGAGAACAGGAGATGCTGCTGACTGAATGACATGTGTAAGCGCCCCGGACCTGCTGAGGAAAGAGCTCAAAGACTACATGGCCAAGCAGGCGGTCACACCAGCACTGAGTCCATCTTTCAATTGTAGTGGCTTCCGGGTTCCAGCCTCGGGGTCCTAGAATTTGTGGTCATGCTTTGAAGTCGGTCTCTTCGAGCTGCAGTGGATATGTGGGTTGGCAATGTGCAGGACTTGGTTTTGGAGCTTGGGTCGCTGGGGTTGGTGGGCTTTACTACAATGAAGAATACAATTGAACAGGAAATGTAAAATGACATGGAAGCTTGTTATGTAGAGGTATATAGAAATGTAATGAGCTCAAGTTAGCCACGAATTTTATGCCATGAGCAAGAGGGTACGACGTGAGACTTGTGATTCGTGATTGTCACCGCTAACAAGTGCAATACGGTAAAGTCGCAGTGATAGCGTGCAGGATGACCAGGCATGATGTTTATAACGTTTGGTGTTGAATGCTCCCATGAGATTAGTAGGGAAGAAGCGAGGCGGGATTATATGGAGCAGGGGCCACAGTACAATGGGTCACCCACCAGCATATGAGCCGTAGCTTATACTCCTTAAAGGGGGCTTATATAGGGGATTATCAGGGGACTAGTATAGGGTTTAGTAAGGGTGATGCTAGGAGTTAAAACTATGACTCATATAAGGTTCAGTCAGGTAGGAACAGTGGGTAAATACGTAGGCTTTGCCCCAGTAGGCATACCCCGCCATATACTTTGTTCGAATTGTGAATGATCCCGTTCATGATTCATAGCTCCTGTGAAGGCCTTGTAACAGACATGCCCCAAAACGTAGAGTTGATGAAGCTCAGCAGCATGCCTACACCCATTCATATTATGAATTCTCATTATCTCGAGACACCTTCCCCCTTACAGGGACCCATGATTCTGAGGCATGCAAGCTTCTCAAGATAAAGCCCGGTGCAATCCTTGAGACAGATCCCATCTATCCTTTGCGGTTTTAGGGACTGCACAGAGAAACCCCATTGTCAGCTTTTGACAGGAGGGCCAGCAGCCGGTGAAGCCCGAGGACGCTTTCTCAAAGCGGGTGTTTATCAAAGCGGTCCCTACATGATCCTCAATGGGTACTTCTATTTTGACAAACTTCCGAATCATGGCCCCTGTTTAGAAGTAAGGACCATAGCAGATTGGGGGATCAAACATTTGAAGATTTCCGTGTCGGCATCGCACTGTTGCTAATGTGGATACTTGCCGCATTTGGGGTCTTCTAGAGGAGGCCTAACGTTGCAGACTTGTATATCCATTGTGCAGGCACTGCATAAGTTACCCCATCCAAGTAGCTGCCCTGCCAAAATGCCGCCAAAACACTGCCAGAAGCAGAAGCACGACTTCAAAGGCATGAAAAAAGAGACGTTGTGCTGCCAGCTGGTTGATGGGCTGGTTTTGGGATTGGGTCGCTTGGGACGAGTATCTTCAGGTCGATGGGATGACTTAAAAAGCGATTTCTAGGGGCCTCGGGATGACAGGATTCAGCATGCTTCAGTATGCTACAGTGCTGTCCGCGCACTCTACTTGCTAATGCTGGGAGCTGTGCTTCAAAGGCTGCGTCGGTTCTAGGGCACTTGAAGGATCCCAGCAGCAGAGTCGTGCAGGATTTGCAGATGGGCTTTAAGTTCATGATTATTGGATTGTCTTCATTTTGAAGGTGTACAGCAGTGGCAGTTTTTATCAGCAGCGCTCGATGTACAGGTCTAAACTTCTTAAAGGGGGCTCATGTAGGGGATTATATAGGGGAGTATTTTGGGGTTCTATTAAGGGGGATACTTGAGTTTAGACTATGGTTCATTTGACAGCTTAGGGACCAGGCCATCAGGGGTGGCTTTTAACAGTTCGCGGCAGCCGGCCGATGTGATCATCTCTTCTGAGCGTGGTCCGCCCTACAGTCATTCGTACCCCCTAATCTGACCAGAAAAGGGAAACAGCGAATGTTGTCCTCAATCCACGGGTTTCGGCGCGAGGTTTGTAGTTGCCAGGCAAGGGCATTGCATGAGCTTGGAGTGTAGGCTTGCAGCTACATGAAGCACGCATGCCAGGAAGAAATCTCTATGAAAAGACACTGTACCCAGAATGTGGCTGACATGCAAAACTAGGGTGTTTTGCAAGATTGCAGAAATTCTACTACAAGGTATATTCACGGAGACTTGTAAATTGTAAACGGCTCAGCCAGGTTAACGACGCCTTGGAAGGTGGAAAGGTTATGGACGGCCGGCACCTGAGATCCTTGTCATGTCATGGTGGCTTCTGCATTCTTCTGCTCGGTATCTCTATAATGTGGCACCCCTTTTAATG